AGTCATCTACCAAGACAAATGCATATTGTTTTCCACCCAAGCTAGTAGTCCTAGTTGGCCCAAAAAGATCTACATGGATCAATTGTAATACTCTACTAGTTGATACGTCATTAATGGATTTAAAAGAAACACGCTTTTGTTTTCCTTTAGCACAAGCATCACAGATTTTATCATTATCAAATTTAAGCTTAGGCAACCCTCGAACTAAATCACCTTGAATTAGCCGTTGCAAAACACTCATACTAGCATGTCCTAGTCTCCTATGCCATAACCAACTATCATGTTCATCCTTAGCAACTAGGCATAAATTAGTCATATCAAAAGAATCTAAATGCACCATGTAAATGTTCCCTATTCTATGACCAACAAGCATAATCCGATTAGATGCAATGTCAATGACTTTTACAACCATTAATTTCAAATAAGACATTGAATCCTTTATCGCATAATTGACTAATACTCAAAAGATTATGCTTTAATCCATTCACATATAAAACATTCTTAATTTGTATGGAAGAGGTATTACCTATTGTACCAATACCTTCAATGTGACCTTTTGAATTGTCTCCAAAAGTCACTTCTCCTCCATTTTTGGCGTTAAGCTCAATGAACCGGCTTTTGTCTCCGGTCATGTGTCTTGAGTATCCACTATCAAGGTACCATGAATTTGAATTTGTTTCCCGTGCCTTGTAGCAATGCTCCTTTCCCTACAAACATAGATTAATTTTTGATTTTTGGTACCCAAATTCTTTTGGGTCCATATTCATTAGTTTCCAAAATCCTAGTCCCCTTAGGTATCCATTTGTGTATGATATTTTTATCTTTGGTAGTAATGAGTTCTTTAGGAACCCATATACTTCTAACGATTTTTCCATTAGAGGTTCTTTGGGGACCTCTATGATTGTAGTTTCTAAAACTTTTTCTAACAAAGTTGGATTTTGAATTTCCATATTTTTCAAAATGTTTTGCTCCAACTTTATCAAAAGAAGTTTTAAGATCATCAATTTTCTTTTGATGATCATCATTGGTCTTTGAAAGTAAATTTTGCAAATCTAAATTTTTCTTTTCAAACTCTTCTAGTTTGATTTGCAAATCTTTGATTTTACTTTCAAGATCGTTGTTGGTTTTGGATATGAGTTTGTTTTCATTTTTCAATTTTGAAACATCGTTTTTATATTTTAAAAATAATTTATCATAATCTGAAGCCAACCCATTATATTCCTCTAATAACTCATCATATGATAAATCATCAAAATCGGATGAGTTAGAGGTTACCTTAGAATCTTCCCCAAATGCCATCAAGCACAAGTTAGCTACTTCTTGTTCCTCTTCATCGGAACTTTCTTCATCGCTCCATGTAGCCACATGAGCCTTGTGCTTATTCTTTGATTGACCCTTTTTCTTCAATTGTGGGCAATCATATTTAACATGCCCTGGCTTTTTGCATTCGTAGCAAATGATTGGGTCCTTCTCTTTCGGTTCATTTTTGAGGCCTTCATTTCGTTTGAATTTTCTTCCTCGATAAGGTCTCATCATTTTTCTGAACCGTTTGGCAAACAATGCCATTTCCTCGTCATCGTCATCGTTATTCGAATCACTCTCATCTTTTGTGGATTTGAGAGCAACTCCAATGTTTATCTTCTTCTCCTTCTCCTTTGTTGTCTCGTCAATTTTGTCGAGGTCCACCTCATCTTCGAGCATCATTTCATGAGTGAGGAGTGACCCAATTAGCTCTTCAAGAGTTAAGGACGTTAAGTCCTTAGACTCGATGATTGCCGTCTTCTTTGATTGCCACGATTTTGGGAGGGAGTACACTAACTTCCTCACAAGCTTTTCATTTGAAATGATCTCTCCATATGATTTGAGACCATTGACAATCGTTGAAAATCTATCCGTCATAGCTTTGATATCTTCATTTGGTTTCATCCTAAAATTTTCATAGCTATGCGTTATAATACTAATTTTAGATTTCTTTACCTTAGATTTCTTTACCTCATCGGTACCTTCATGAGTGACTTGAAGTTTGTCCCATATTTCTTTGGAGGTTGTACACGATGAAACTCTTCCGTATTCATCTGGTCCAAGAGCACAAAAAATGATATGGATGCCTTTGGAGTTGAGCTGGAACATTCTTGTCTCTCCTTCACTCCACAACCTTGGATGAGTGAGAGGTTTGATGTATCATTCTTCTACAGCATTCCATGCTCCCATGTCACTTGCTTGAATGAAGTACATCATTCTATTCTTCCAATAGGCATAGTTAGCTCCATTGAAGAAAGGAGGCTTGTTGACGGGCATCGAGTCGAGACTGGAGTCGAAGTTTGAAGCGGAGGCCATTGATGACTTTGATTATCGATATAACTCTTCCCGAATCGACTCAAGAGGCGATTAAACCTTCAAATGAGTTAGGCTCTGATGCCAATTATTGAGTTAATCGATTGACGGATTTGGCCAAGAGGGGGGTGAATTGGCAATTAAAAATTTGGTGGAAGCTTTTGCAGAAAATTGAAAGTAATTGCACAGCGATTTAGAGTGGTTCGACTTTCTCAATTAAAGTCTACGTCCACTACCTTAGCTATCCACACTAAGGATTTTCCAACAAATTCACTAATTTGTTCTTTCTTTTGAGGCCAAAGAGATAACCTTACAACACCCTCAAGAATATACCCCAATTCTTGAGAACACTCTTTCCCAAAGAGAAGATTACAAATTTGCAAACTTACAAGGAAAACCTCACAAGGTAAGATGTTTGCACAATTCTAGAACAAGAAAAGAATACTCAAAGATAATTATAAATGAGCACAAATGGTGTTCTTGAAAGCAAAATGAATATTGAAAGGAAAATTGGCTTGATTTGCACAAACTTGGTGTTTGATGCTTTCTCTCTTGTTTCTCTATGATTTCTTGTTGATCAAGGGCTTCAGAACTTGTTTAAATACATCTTGAATCACTTCTGAACGTTGGGGATGATTAGTGAAGATCATATAGCCGTTTTAGTGTGAAAACAATTAATAAAACAGCTTGGAGCATGGGGGGAATCGATTCCCCCTCATAGGGAATCGGTTCCCTAAGTGTAAAATTTAAATATTTCGACCGTTGAACAGGGGGGAATTGGTACCCCCTATGGGGGAATCGGTTCCCTCCGAGCATTCTGGAAATCTCGGAGCCAAATCGTTCAGGGGGGAATCGGTACCCCCTTGGGGGGGAATCGGTTCCCTCTGAGCAATCTGGAATTTTTGGCTTTGAAATGGTTCGAAATACTTTGAAAGATTATTTTGAAATTGATTTAAGATTAAAACTTAATTTTACACTTAAGTAAGGATTAAAAATGATTTTTTAAATATTTGGGGTAATGTTTTGATATTCGAATAATTATATCAAATATACTTAGAAAATCATTTGGAAAATCTTAAAATTCATTTAACTTAATTTGTTATATCGAAATATCAAAATGTTTTCAACAAAAATAAAACATTTTATTAAAATCACCTAGTTTTTATGGTGTCCCGATAACACCTTCAAACGATTAGTAGCGACTCCTCACATTTTAAAACCTTTTCAAAGAAAACCCCTAAGTAGTACCCAGTTTTTTCCCACTCGGGCAAAAAACGGTGTCGACACCTCTATTTTATAAACCTCCACTAAAACCCATTTTTGGTTCAAAACTTAAAACTTGACATGAAATGAAGCTCTTGAATTGGGGAAGAATCTTTCTTACCTAAGGTAAACTCAACTAGTATTTGAATTCCTTAAATCTTCACTTGGAGGAAAAGAAAATGAAGAGAGAAATAAGAGGGATGAGAAAGAGTGTTTGGTGAGTTAAGATGGGGTGGTTCACGTTGATATCAGATAAAAATAAAGGGGTTTAGCTCTTGATTTCAAAAAGGGGAAAATCACACTTTAGGTCCTCTTTCTTTTTACTTCTTATTAAAATTATCCCAAAAGTCCAACACTTGGGCTGAACCAAGTCCAATTCTTACTTACTTTTTTCCAACTAATCTAATGGGTCTTTTTTGGCTCGAATTAAAGGTTTCAGGTTAACCCGAACTAATAACCTGGGGTTTGGGGTATTACATTTAGCATGGAAAATTTTGCACTAAGAGATTGACCTATATCAAAAGGGCGATAAATTTAGTTTGTTTTAAATTTAATATCATAAATTATTGCTTGAGTTATTCATTTTTTTAGAAAAAGTTTTGTTATAAATTTTATTTTTTTTATAATTCGTAACTTTTAAAATTAAAATAAAAAGTTAAATTTTGGGTGATTATACATGGCACCATTTGATTTGAAAGTTAAGTTTATTTTAATTTATTAAAGTTAAGACAAATTGAAAGAATATATAAGTAACAGTGACCAAATGTATAATTATACTAAATATTTTAAATACCACATCAGCTCTTCCTTCAAAAATTAACGGCAGGTGGCTTAATTGAATGCATTTAAATAGTTGAATGACCTGATTGACAAAATTTCAAAAAATATTGGTCAAAATGAAAAGGGACAATAGTTATGTAGTCATTGATATAATTTACCCTTTATTTTAAATAATCTATCTTTAAATTTTTAACAAATATATAATTATACTTTTAATCCTTTAGAATTTAAATTTTTATAAATTAAAGTAATGGTGCTCGTTGTTAGTGGTGCTCATTGCTACTCGTTGAACGTAGAAGAATCATCCTAATCACTTGTATACTATCAACTTTCACATCAACTTAAGTTCAATTGTATTAAATATATTTGCTTAATCTTTTGGAATTTAATTATTATATTACCATTTTTAATATAAATGAAATTTTAAGTTGAAAAACAACTTTTACTCTTTCTCGTAAGTTTCCATTTAATAAAAATATTAATACAAAAAATACATGGAAAACTAAAAAGAAAAAATGAAGTAAAAAAATCTGGGATACACAAATAGGAAGTTGATGATTTGCAAGCTATGGTTTCTTGGTCTGCAAGTAAATAAACAAATGAAAGATGAGCCTTCTATCCCTTTAGCTAACTACTTCATACATATAAATAAAGCCTACCTTTTTCAAGTACTTTTCTTGTAACTTTAATGCCTCTTTACAAGCTTTCTTGGCATCCAAGTTTCCAGTAACATCACCCAATATCTAGAAAAAAAAAATAATGAAAAAGAAAGATATTCATGATCAGAGAAATGATTCTTGGCCAATGGTAAATCATTAGGGATGGAAGTGACCGAGAGCGAGAATGAGAGAGAGGCGTACCGAGACAACGTCATCCAAACCCTTAGCCTCTTTTAGAATCTGCTTATGCTTGGTCTCAAGCACACCTGCAACAAGGAAAACAGCAAGTGCGTTGTTTTGATCCCCGTGACCCTTCTCCATGTTTTTCCTCTGGAATTTCCCGCACTGCTTTAGCATCTTTTGATTTAATCGTCCGGAGTCGTTATCTTGATCTCCATCGGTCTGCTCATACGACCAGAAGATATTCGGGTTGTACTCCATTGCCCACATTACCTGTCTTAGAATAAGCATATATGAAGAAACTGATGACTCCCAACAAACTAAAACAACTAATGGAAACCTAAAGCTCTCTCAAAGATATGATAACTTTCTTAAACATAAAGTAGAGCCAATCTATAGGAGAAGTTCACATGCATAGAGTCCTTTCCTCTCACCTCCCAAAGATACAATGAATCGACGAAGGAGAACTCTCTCCGGAAAAGTACCATCAGCATGCGGAATGCAAACAAATACTCCCCACCATCTAGCTCCTCTGTCACAGAAATCAAAAGAGATTTTAGTTAAACATGAAATAAAATTGCTGGAATATGAAGATGGCAAGAAAAGAAGGCATAACCACAAAGCATTGTGTTTAGGTTACTCTTAATGTCCATGAAAAGGATGAAATTTCTTCACCCGAATCATTAATCCATTAAGTTGCACATAAGGTTTCAGAGTAAAATCATAAATAGAACGAAAGGTACGAAAAAAAGTTGTAAACGAACACATACCAAGGTGTTTATGAAGCTGAGGGTCAACAGTTTTAATTACTTGTGAAAGTGTACCAAGCTGTGATTGCACACCTATTGAAGTTGAACTACACCTAAAATTTTCCCTCTGTTTAAAAAAAGAAATCCCAAAGTCCGGGTTATACTTTCGGAGATATTAGCTATAAACACCATACGTAGACACACAGACATGAAAGCAAAAGTTTTACATGAATCTTCCCCCATAAAATGATGTATCAATATATAATATATACCATAATTATCAATCATAAGATGCCACTTGAACAGAATAGTAATTCATAAACCACACACACTAATTGTATGCAATGAAATACTAAAAGATAATGAATATCAGTCTTCACTGAAGCAAATTTTCAAACAACCCTGTAAGATGTAAAAGTATACCAGTCTTCGCATTGCACGCTCAAAACACCAAAACGTGTCTGCTTCATTTTCAAGAAGGATTACCATTGGAGAGCATATGTCGTTCATTCCTGATCATCAAAGAATAAGCTAAAATGTTCGAAGAAGAAGAAGAAGAAAACTCCAGCTTGGTAATCAACTATGCAATCAAGTAACTCGCCTTGAACATAACCAACATCATCATCTAACCATGAGTATATAGCAAGAACATCCCAAAGTTTTGCCTGATTAGCTTTTTCCTCATAAAAGACAAGTGCTCGGTCAGTTCGAACAACATCCAAGCCTACAAGCCAAATGCATCAAGTGCATTAAGGACCATTGAAGTTTCAGCAAAATTATAATTATGAATATTGTATAGATGCATAATAAAACCATTTATAAGAATCATGCTTTCTCAAATAGAATTTTTCTAACAATTATAATAGCTTACAACATAGAATGTCAGCAAGCATCTAGGGTAGAAATCTACAAGTTGCAAGGCTTAAGAATCGTGTCTTAAAAAGAGAAGGTTATAAAAAGGTAATAGATTGGCCTTATTAAAGTCTTAAAGGTTATCTATCAATCAAGGTAGTAAAAATGTTGAACAGTACCTCAAGAATGTATATAAAGTATATAGCAGATCTGATCATTTCTGCATGAAATTATACCCCATACATACCAATTTGATGCAATGAAAGCATCCACTGAGCCACTTTCTTGTCTGAAACAGAACTTATCACGTTGCAACCTTCAGCTTCTATTGGCTGGCCATCATCAGTGATAATTGGTGTTGAAATGAAATCTCCGGTACCAATGACAGATACCATATTCTGGCATTCAGTTTTCCACATGGCATACCTCTCCCTGGATGGTTAGTGCGATAAATCAAATCATAATGTCCAATTTAAGAAAAGAAAAACATGGATGATTAGAGAAAGAAAAGTCAGAATTATGAACAAAGAAACATGGTTCAAAAATAAAATTACAAAATCAACACCGTACTTGAAAATGGTTAACTACCTAACTGCATATTTAGAAACAAAATGATTCAGGAATATAAGATTACATAATCAATGGAAAGAGCTATAAAATTTAATCGGATCAAAATATGGAGTGGTACTAAAATTTGGAAGTGAAAAAGAAAGACACGTATATCATGAATAATTTATGCTTTTTGAGACTGCTAACATCGATTTCCTAGCTCTACATGTCGAATTGTAAGGTAAAGTTGCTACCTCCTTTGCTGTCGAAGCTCATTGCGATCCTCAAAGGTACTGTTAGGATCATAGCAACCTAGCAGGAACTCCCAGACTAACCCTTTGATTGAAGGGTGAATACCCTACCATAACAAATCAAGTAAAATCAATAATAATACATTGTTGATATTTGATAAAAACTGCATAAGTTTCAACAGATGTAAATATGTAAGCATATGCAAACCATACCACTGTAAACAGACACAAAGAGATGTCAGTATAATTGTGGTTATATGGATGGTTAAAGGCGTCAAAATGAAAAATAGCAGAAACCCAGTTGAATGACAACCGTGAAAAATATAGAAAACTGCAAGGGCATAAACACATGTATCGGATTTGGAAAGAGAGGGAGAGTAGTAAGTTTGAATTTCTATTCCTTTAAATTGTGTAGGTTGGAGCTGAATACAAATTTAACAATCACAATGTTTCATTGTATTTTTGTCCTAAACACATCAAATTTGCTCCACATATGTGCATTACCTGAGCAAATTTACTTCTCTAAAACCCCATGAAGTTTTTCAAAAAAAAATGATGTTGATTTCATTTGGGTGCTTAGACTACAGAGCAGATCGAGACAATCTCATATAGAACAAAATTCCATAAAGGACGTTAAATTTTGATTTGAATGAGTCAATTCTTTGAAATCATATCTCAAACTTTGTTTTATCTTAAACACTAATCAAATGATCAAACTATCCAATATCTCAAATGTTGCAACTTAATCCTATGTCAATGTCCAAATGCCTCTGTCTGTTTTTGGGTCTAAATTGTATGTATAAATATAAATGTAGGCAAGTAACAGAACCATAAGTAGAACTAGAAAGAAGCTAACCCCTCTTTGTATCCGTCTAAGAACTTTTGCCATATCCAGGCGACCCTCTTCAGAGAATGCAGCATGCCATCTTCTTCCACTGAGAGTTTTCCCTGCCTGATGAAATCGATAAGTATCGCGAGTGCATGGCCAATAAAATGATAAACGTCTAATAAAAAATTCAGGTTTACAAACAGAATCAAACTGAAACTTCGAGCAAGGGAAGTGGTGAGTAAATGATGCACACCCTGGGCTTAAAACGGGTCTTTGGCATATCAGCAACACATTCTGGTCTTATAGGATAGAAGGTCTCCAACTCTTCTGTTCCAGCTTTTTTACCAAATATCTTTGCCATTTGCTATTGCCTCCCAATTAAAGGCTTAAAAGATGGACCTAATCGTTTGCAGATATTTAGCGATATCTGAAAATCATAGAAAACTGTGAATATGATCATTGAATTCATTGCTAATGTCAAACAGAAAGAAAGATATTGTGGAAAAAAAAAGCATCATCTCAAGAAATAGAAAACATATTAGCCTTGTTAAGTAATTAAACACTATACCATTCGAATGTCACATTAGTTTCATTGAATCATTCTCTAGAAACCCAGAAATCCCTCCTTTGAATTATCATCAGACCATAAAGATAAAACTTAAAAATGCCTAAAATTCAAATATCCCTCTGCTCCACAGTCATGGAGATCCAAACCCAAATACAAGGAAATCAAAACAGAGAACCTGATTAAGAGACATGTTTAAAAATTGTATCTTTGCATATTGTTATCATCAAATCATCATCATTTAAAGCTTACTTATAGAGTGAAATGCAAATAGAAGACAACTTCCTGGTAGGCAGGAACTCGAAATGCTACAAAGTTTTCGTTTCATGAGACAAAGAGGAAACTAGGGGGAAAACAGCGAAGAATGAATGGTGAGACAAGATAGGTCCCTTTGGTTGTTAATGGTGACACAAGAAAAAAGGTTACTTTATTTTAAACGGTAAAGTGTTGCTGTTAATAGGAGCCATCGGCTAATTAAGTAATCATGTTTACCCCTTTTTTGGAGGGTAAACTAAACAGATCATCACTCAACTTTCTCATCTCTCCTATTTTTGGTCACCCAATTATAAAAATTTCAACTTGATAACTGAATTTTATACTTTGAATTTTTTTAGTCACTCCTCCGTTAATTTATCAACAGAGTGACGATGTGGCATTTTAACTCAACTTTTTGACTTTTCAATTTACTAATTTTCCATTTATTTTTTCTTTCCAACTTTATAGATGTCCACTGCTCTCACCTTTTTCTTGCACTCCTCAAATCTGTAACTCTCACCATTGGCAATGCACTTCCAGCAGCTTTTACAGGTCCACCAACTCTTCCGCCTATAATCTGGCCATCTGTACTTGATAGACATACACCGAGCCACCAGTCCTCCCATCCTTATTACCACTCTCGAGTCTCGACTTCAAACAGAAAAATTAAAAAAGAAAACCAGATGAAAATATCATAAATTCTCAGGAAAATACGAAATTACTACACTCTGCAAATTGTAACAGATTTTAAGCATGAGAATTAATTCTCTCTCATGCACTTTGGATTCTCTTCACATTATTTCTTTTAATGGACTTTCTTCATACTTGATTATGGTTATGGGATGAGTTTTCTTTTGTTAAATAGATCGATGCATATCGAATTTCTTGATTGCCATTTCATTTGATTGCTGATGGAAATTGTCATGTGTGTCTATGTTGCATGTACCACTTTCAAGACTGCAGACCTTATTTTTTATAGCAGCCGGTTCATTACTTCCTTGACCACTTATTTGAGGTAAAACTCTAGAGATTTCATTTTATATATTCATACAAGTCAGGGACTCGAAATGTTAGGGAAGCATATGTAGCTTTCTTTTACGTAAGTTCACAGAGTTGATAGGAATATATATACAGGAAAATGGTCACACAAAAATGTGTACTTGGATAATGAGCACCTGTTGGTGGATAATGTTATATATATATATATATATATATATATATATATATATATATATCCATTTAGTTTTATTAAAAATAAAAAATATCTAGAATTACAATAAAGATTTATGAACATAACCATAAACGTAAACTAAATTATAATTAGGATATTTTCCTATAACCATTAACAAAAAACTAGTCACCTAGATCACCAAGGACCATAAAAGGGAAAAGCTTAAAAAAACCTAACAAATGCTCGAATAAAATAAAGATATGAACAAATATGATTATATCGGCAAACAAACCACAAAAGGGGATGAAACTACTGAAAGATCATCGATAAATCGCAAATCAGAGTCAAGCAACGTGAGAAAAATATCAACGGGCGCAAAATGCGTATCTAAATCAATCTGAGGGTCCAAAGCAGGGAAGATCAACATGATAACAAATAAGCGTCATCTTGATAAGTCAAGATGATGTCAAATCCAACACTGTGAAAAAGATAAACGAAAACAACGACAAAAAATCGTAAACTACTTAAAGTCAGAGAAAAACATGTCACAAAGACAGAGATAAATGTATCATAAAGACAGAGAACATGACACAAAGACATAATTATTCTTATTAAAAAAACTAAAAAAAATAAAGAAAAAATATAACCGACTGGCGGCAACTAGCATCAAAACAGATATCGCCTTCGATTAAACAAAATTAAAGAAGAAAAAGTTGGATTGATCAATAAAATTGACACAAAATTGTAAAGAAAAAAAAGTAAGAGAGAGGTTGGTGGATAATGTTGGATTAAAATCCATAATTATGGACACATATTTATAATGTATATTGTCGTAAAATATGAATAAATTAACTGACCAATTATGTAATAAAGTCATAAGGTATTAAAAGTATCATGAAAATAAAAGTGTAGATACTATTAAAGTTGTATTTATAGTTTGATGAGGGGCAAGGTCATAAGTACAGACAATAACTGATTCTTAAATCAGCTATATAAAGGGATTATGGTCCCCAATAAATAAACAATTTCGTATTTACACATGATTTCAACCTATCAATAATTAATTCAGATAGGTTTCCGCATCTAGTATTTATTTTACTCTGGATGATTTGACATGATTAGATCCTGATTTGATTAAATATTTATTTATGTTTTAATTCTAACAAGTGATATAATCATCTAATCATGTTAAATTATTGAGAATTAATTGATTTATTTTATGAATTAATTTATGATTAAGTTTTTATGAATTCAATTTAGAGTTTACTTTTTTCGATGTGGTTTGATGTCTCTATTGTCGATTAATCTTTATGCTTTTGCTTTCAACTTTTGGAATTAATAGTAACGGCATAAGGTGATTCTAGATATATATTTAGATTTATTTCTTAAAAAACAAATTGTGTTGCTCTCCAGTTTATTTTTAAATCCATTAATTTTATTTGCACACGTTATTAAAAAATTCGAGATGATATGTATGTGAATATTCGTGAAATTCACATAATTCTTTTTTTCCCTTAACCTTTGGCACACGTGGGAAGTTTATCAAATCTGATAGTGATTTTTAATTAAAAAGACAGTTTACTTTAAAGTCTAATTCAATTTTGAATTAGATTAGATCAGCCTCAAAGTCGGGTAAGTCATGGGTTTTATTTGGTTTTAATTGAGAACATAAATCTTGTTCTTTTGTTTATCTAAACCCTGGACATTTGGTATTGCATGTTGGCTTGAAAATTATGATTTCTTTTGACGTAAGCAAATGTTTTCGTTTCTATAGATTTGATTTGCTTTCATTTTTTTAATCAAGTTATATTATGCAGTTGGTTTAGTTCCTTCAAAATATGTGTTTGTTAAATTTAAAATATAAATTAATTGCATATTTATGTCAGACATAGTTATGTTTAAGAATTTTTTGAGGAATTAGTTAAAGATTTAGGTTTTTGGTTTCTAATAACGTTTTTTAGACACCCTTACTGTGAGTTACTCCGGAAAACACAACGTGATTAGAAAATTCAATTTTGGTTTTTGACTGTTATGAATTATATATGTTTGGCATTTGTATATTCGATTCAGTTTGATTAAAAAATACTTTTTAATCTTTGATTAAAGATTTAATTCACTAGTTTGTATTTTGACCTTGACTTTTGGTTAAATATTGAATTGAATTCGGTTTATTTTTTTTGGTGAGTTATGAAGTTATGAATTAAATGCATAACTTGAGTTTTCGATTTTTGATGGCACCATTTATGTAACCTTATTTTAGGTTATTTTGGATACTATTGTGCAATCAGAAATTTCAGTTTTTAACCTTTGATTGTTATAGAAATATTAAATTTGAATACTAATATTTATTTTGAGATGACTTAATTAAAGCAATAAATTGTTAAAGTGAGCTCCGTTATGGAAAATATATTTTTTTAAATATAAAAGTTGTGTACATATAACTTAGGATATGTTAGTATTAATCGACCCAAAGGAAGATTAATAGTTGACTTAATCGCATGTACAACTTTGGTAATAAGCATGTGATAATTATCCGGTTTGATGTGTGAGTAAAAAATCGGCCCAAAGGAAGATTTTTGCTTGACATGTTCTTATTATCAATATTTGGTTACCGCCTCAGATATCAATTAAGATGAATATTTTGTCTAAAGATGAAATATTAATAGAGTATTTGTATTTTGAGATATTTTGAGATAAGGTTTAAGTGTATTCAAATTTATTATTATTTTTATTATCTTTTAATTTAATTAAAAGATAAATTAAGAGAAATTGATTGGTTGCCAATATTTCTATGGTTTTATTTATATTGTTAGTGCAATATATGTATTTATTCAATTCAGTTTTTAGGTTTTGATTGTTGGTTACTAGAATATATATATTTTGAAACAAATTAATTCTTATTATGACTATGTCTGATATTGAAACATAATGTTGCCAAAGTGTCATCTTTTGTGTAGGTTGGTTTATTTAGAATATAAAGATAATTATATATTTCTTGTTATTTATGCATTTATTAATGGACCCATGGAAAGTTAATATTTGACTGAATTTCAAGCGACACATATGGTAATAACATGTGACAATTATAAGGTATTTTATGTTAGCATTACATTAGTCCAAAGATTAGTCTTTTGTTCGACATACCTTATTATCAATTTTTGATTACTACAACAAGAGTACAATTTATTGTTACTATTATTGTCTAAAGACTTGATATTGATGTATATTTGGTATCTTGAGATGTGAATTAGCCATAATTTTGAATTTATTTGTTTACTTAATATGTGAGCTTCAATTTTATTTATGTTTTGTTATGTATTCAGCTAATTATTTATTTCTACCATAATATTTGATATTATATATTTTCTTCTCATGCTTCAGAAAATGAATCTCAAGGAATGAGAAA